GGCACCATGTATCTCCTGCGCAACTTCGAGCCAGTCAAAGAATTACACAAGCCGCTTCTGACTATGAATAGTGAAAAGACATTTCTCTCAGTCGACTCCACTCACTCATTTCCATGAAGAGCTGTCTCTTCTCCACCATGGCCTTGCCTCGTTTACTGCCTTCCTCGATCATTCTGTGGCACATCAAACAGCAGAGCATGCTTCCAGTTCAGACAACAGCATGTTAATAAATGTAGCACAGAGCTCTTTCCATTGTTTCCATTGTGTTCCAATATCCCAAATCAATCACATAACTTGCAATTGAGGTTGATTTGTATAAATATAATTAGTGCAATTGAAGAAAATATTTCAACTATAACTATAACATATATAATAATGATTGTGGGAAAACTAAATGATTACCTAAAGCTCATAAATTAACATAGTTGTAATGTAGAGAATATAATTCTTTGTGTGTGCGTTATTCTGCATTTCATCTGTTATGTGGTCAGGTAATATGCACATGAGAGCTCCCGAACACTGGTATATAAAAGGATACTGTGTGTTCTTTCATCTTTATTGTTTACCCAAGGACTGTATTAGTCATCTCTCCTGCTATTACCTTGTGAAAAGTAGAGATTATTTGGCTTTGGCTAGCTGTTTAACAGATAATAAAACCAGTTATACGGATGAAATCAACTGGTTTCTTTTGAGTGGTACGCCAAAAATGTAATTGATTTGGAAGACTCGGAAAAGCAGGCCTAATATGCTCTTAAACAGTAATATTACCCTGTGTTCTTATGCAATGAAGACATTTCAGTGGCATACATTTGTGGTAGGGGATGTACTGCAAATAGTACCATTTGTTTTAAGCCAATGATAGATACACTACATATTTTATCACATAAGATTTAACTTAAGTATTGTATATCTGATGTTATGAAGATTGTTAGAAGCATTTACCTGTTGCTGGCTGAATGTCAAACAAAGTGAAGCCTTGATTGTCGGCCCTGTGAAGAAAAGCCATATTGAAAGAGTTAGTGAGGGAGTCTTTAGACTTGATGTCGCCATTGGTATGAGATAAGCTATTATTCGCTGACAAAATGTATCTGACTTTTAAATAAGTAATTAACACCTCCCCTCTCTCCCTCCTTCGAGGACTTCATTAGCTCTCAACTTGTGCTTTTGTTTCCCCTTCCTCTCTTTCTGTAGAGATATTGGTAAGCTGGCTGGGGAACACTCCAGCGCCCGTGGTCTGTGCAAATGATAATTCTCCATGACATCCCGCTCAGCAGTGACTGCATCCTGTGGTCTAATGACACCAACTGAGCTGCAAAGGAACCACTTAATGATGATGGAGACTGAGCACATTACAGCTGGCCAATGAGTGAGAAGCGCTGGGTGCCCCAGAGAGCCTTGGGCCAGGGGACCAAGTGCCCCCAAACATGGGATGGGGGTGGGGGCTTCAGCTGACCAGCAGAGCGTGAGCAAAGAAGTGAAGGTTCTGCTACCTTCAGGAAGTCTAAAGACAGTGAGGATTTTTCAATTTTTTTGCTTTTCTTTTGCATCAAGCCTTATTTGAGAGACACACTTCTTCTCATGGTGATCTCTACTGTTATGACAGAGCTTCTTTCCAGTCACTAACCTCCTACTATGGCTTGTGATGAGTGGTTCATTTTTGCTGGTTATAGGCAAGGGTCTTTAAAGGGTCTTTAGTTGTATACAATTCAAGCATTATCTCATTTATTATTTAAAACAATAGGTATTATGATCAGTGTGTAATCAGTGAGTATTGATTATTTTCATAATTGAATAATGTACTAACATTTCTTAATTCATTAATTCATTAATTAAAGGTTTATTCAATGAAAAAATTTGCTTTTTGCGGTGTCTCAGATATGATAACTGAATGCATTTCTGTGGCATATATGTAAATTGAATATCTTTGGGTTTTGGACTGTTGATGGGACAAAACAAGACACCTGAAGACTTCACCTTGGTCTATAGGAAGTTATAATTTGTCACTATTATCTGATTATTATTATTATTATCTAAAATTCTTGTTAGTTGCACCCATTTTGAGAAGCTCAAACCAGAGAATGTTTGGCTGGTTTGCTTTGAAAATAAAAGAATGAATGAAATGATTCATCGTCTATCATAATATTTGTCAATGAAATGTTTCAGCTGTAATTACGATTACTGATCTCACTAACACCAGATACGGCTGCATTCTGAGACAGCAATAATCCACTTTGTGCTTAATGAAATAGCCATTTTAATACTCTGAAATAGTCTTATGGCTCTTTGTAGCACAGTGGGCATAGCATGACAATAACTCAGTCAGGATTAAGGGTTCACTTGGGCTACTTGAAAACACTTGGTCAGCCTAATTACACATTAAAAGGCTCCTATATGGGTAACACACACCGTAGATACTTTTTTAGGGATGATATTTCAGTGAAGATCTGTTGTGCTTTGGGGGAAAGCGTAGAAAAACATTTGCTATGCAGTGGGAAACCCAACAGACACATGTCAGCAAAATAACACAATGGCTCATTGTAAATATTCAGCCTATGAAGTTACTGCAGAAATTCATGAGTATGCAACTCAGGCTTTGCATTGGCAGGCAATGTTCAGAAAAATGAAAGCAGTGCATGACAGCCTATGGCCGTTTGATTACTCCATGTAAAATAAGGAAACAGAGACAAGTCCTTAATAATTCATGGACAAAATGTATTCACAGACCAGAGCACATTCAAAGGCACAGACCAGAATGAATGTGATTTTTAACCAATGTCATTCACTCATTTTCATAAAAGTAATCATAAGCTTGTACTAATTTCAATAGTCCTTTTTGACACAGTAAGACTGTGTAGTTACAATTATAGGCAGTAACGGTGCATTTTACTGTAACCGCACCTTCAGCTCCGAGGTAATGACAACATCCTTTGACGCGAGTCAACATAAGGACTCGGTTACTGCAGTACCTCCCTTCCGCTGATATCATTCACTTCTCGGTTTGTAGAACCCTCAATTCAGACAGTGAGCAATCCTGCAACACTTTAGATTCACTTCTGAAGCGACGACAGAGCACAAACGCAGCCATATTGCTGATTTAACTGCCTATTTACCTTATTTCCGCAATGGGAATGGTGTGTCGTGATGCCCATACAATTTGTGGATAAGAAACAATGGCAATCGTGCATCTCTTCAATTCGCACTGGTGTCTCAACAGCCGTGTGAGAGGCATAGCAGGGAACTGGCCTTTACCGGAGGAAAATCACGCAGGTTGCGTTTAGAGCATCACCATCATCATCGGCAGCAGCAGCATCAGATGGGGAGGATAAGTGGTCCAGGGTGAATAAGGAGGATTTTTCCTCCGTGATTCACAGCCTCACTCTCACCTTTGATGAATCCACGCTTGTCCGCCGACGTTACAGCTGTCCGAGCGATGAGAAACGGCTCGGACGACCCATCATCGTATTTCAAGATCCTCTCCCGTTTCATTCGACTTCAATCTTGGGAACCGCCGTTGTAGCCGCACACAGAAATGTACAAGCGCCCCGCTCCGCGCGGCATCATCAGCGACCCAGCGGCAGAGGACGGCAGAGCAGAGCGCAAGCAGGCACGGAGATGCCATGCGCGACCACCTACTATACTTTAAGCATGTGCGCACGCACGCTGGTTAAAGGCGCACTACTACTATTGCTACTTTTACTCTGATTTATGATCGCCAGCATAACAGAGTGGAAATGAAACAAGAACCCAAGATTAAATTTAATTTAAAGGGATACTCTAGTGATTTCGTATTGCACATTCACAATGTTGGGGGCTCAAAAGAGACGGATTTAAAAAACAGAATGAACAAAATCAAAGCAGCAGAGATATCTTGACTTTATGAGTCAACCTCAAACACCACTGGATCCTACATTTCCCATAATGCAATGCACCACCATCTGTTTTCTGCATTCTGTATTCCCATTCCCAGGCTTAAATGATCATCATCATCATCATCAGTTTTTGGTTTGTTTTTTTAAACACAAAGATATCATATTTTGTCCATCCGTTTGCCTTTTTAAATAATAATAATAATAATAGCCTACCCATGAGCCACAGGACCCCACTGCTATGGAGAATAAGGTAGTCTAAGGCCAAACCAGAGGGGAAGCTAATTCAAAATTCTTTGTCGTTGCATTACTTTAAGCTGCAGATCTTATTGCCAGTTTTCCCAACAGTGTGATCTTAGCTTCAACTCAATCATTAGCGTCACACCCAACACAAAACATTGGAAAAAATGAATGAGGGTTATACTTCCAGAATCAGTGTCACCAGGTCATAGATCATCAATGCCTCCTAAATGCCCACTTCTTACAGACTCCACAACTCCATTAATGCACTAGAAAACGCAGGCTTTCTGCTTTTAAATTTTAAAGTTTCACGCCTAATCCAAGACAATTTAGAACAGTCTGTTCTCATTCCCAGAGCGTCAAATAGCTGCGCTTTGTCACGTCTTTCAGCGTCTGGTTACCAATGCACATGGCTCCCTTTCGCGTTTCAGCACAATGAGGGAAGCCCTTTAGCGTCATTGTTCAACGCTTAAAGTACTACTATAAATAACAGAAAAGTCCAAGTAAGGAGGTGGTTGGGCTAGACGAGTAGGACAGTGTTCATTTCCCGTGTGAAACAAAAAGTCAACACTGATTGCTTTTAGTAATGTAGCATTACTTAACTTACATAATTTAAGTCAGAGTAAGTAACAATTATTTAAACTGAAACCACGATCTTTTACTAAACCTAAACAAGTACTTTCGGTGCCTACACCGTACCACCTTACCGACGTTTCACAACATTAACCGCGTTTTATTTTGAAAGTCTAACCAGATATTGCTTAGTTTTACTTGCTAACTTGTCAAGTTACCTACATGTACAAAACCAACCCTAAAGGGTACATAAACTGAACTTCAAGTGGCCTTTGCAACCCTCTGAGGTAAGCACCAATAAACTCACACACACACAATGCATTAGTTTTCCTTATTTATTCATAATAGTCTATTACTTTTGATAAAATACACTTTGTTTACAAGTGCTGATTACTATATTACATTCACCCGGAGTTTAAATGGAGACAAAATGACACAGACATGTTAAACAAATTCACCTAGTGATAAACATGACATTTTAAAATGGTAGGGATTGCCCAGGACAAATTCCCCCACAGTCAATTCTATATGAACTGCTCATCTGAATGCACAAACAGGTAACTTCAGTCACAGTGGGGACTGCTGCCTGACAATTGTTATTAACAAAGATTACAGCTGCCTTTTGAGTTGATTGAATGTTTTTTTTTTTTTGTAATTGTTTTGCAGTGCAATCCAGTCCCCAACTCTACAGGAGTAAATACAGCATCCTAACATCACATTCAACCAAATAAGACCAAAATATTTATGTTAGATAAATTAAATTTGTGATCTAATCAAATACTGGTACACCAGTTTTAGTGAAATGACTATGCTAACTTTGTGGATTTTAGCCCTAAAATATTAAAACCAATATTCCACAAGACACAAACCCCTCAATTTAATAACAAATACATCTAAAATGGACTTTGATTAATCCACTGACCTACAAATGGTGCTTTAACATTTTTAATCATATCTTTTTTTCATAAGGACACAAATGTAACATCTAAAACGGTACTCGTATTTGACAACACCTCTATGGAAAAATATAGACCAACGGATCCGTTGAAAAAACCTGGGCCATACAGAATATTAATACCTGGGCAATTTGAATTATAAAAACTCTTGTTATTCTCTGTACGGTGGCCTGTCCAGTCTAAACAAAATCATAGGTAGAAACAGATAGCCAATATATTATTATAGTAAATACCCTGTTGATTTTCAAAAACAATTAGCAAATAGATTTTTTATATTAAAATATATTAATTAAAATATATTACTTTGATTAACTAGTCAGACATTTAAAAAAAGTTCAGATTATTTTGTTTTCTTTAAGGTGACTTTGGCATATTACCTTGGAAATAATTGCTATAAAACAGGTCTACTTTGCACCTCCAGGAGATAATATAGTTGATGTGTCTTAATTTGCAATCAGCATGAGCACCCGAAAAACCTGCTGAGGTAACTCTTCACATTGGCCTTTTTGCATTTAAATATGTGGTGAAGTAAGCATTTATACTGTGTTAACTTCATCATAATGTAACTACAAAGTTGTAACAACACAGTGTTCACACAACAAGCTTGCTGGTTCATCCGTGCACATATATAAACATGATACAGTATTATTTTTGTGCTTACAATACTTCATACCACATTAAAATGGACAACTCTTTAAATTCATAATTCAATTCAAAGCCATTTTGAGGTGAAGCGTTACACTCGTCTGTTAATCGGTGTCATATTGTACCTCCAAATCAATTTGTAAAACTGAAGCATACTACGCTGAATCATTCTAAGATAAAGCATTTAGCGTTTTAGCATAACTTACTGTTCATCTCTATTTTCTTTCCACAGTAAAAATAATTATGTAATAAACAGCTGAATTTGCTCAAACTAGGTGTGCTGCACAAAATAAAATAAAATACATTTCTACATCTAGGCATATACCGTAAATGAGCAGATATTTACAGTGGAAAAAAAACAACTAAATTATCTTCATTTTCTCCCCTTGCCTTGAGTGTTTTTTTTACTGTTTGCCACTGCTGATCTATCTATACAGATATACAAGCATGAGAAAACCCACCACATGGGAGGCAATATCTACAAAATTTAGGTTTACACAGTAGGAAGTGACTCAATTTGCCAAAAGAAACATATAGGCATTTTTATACATAAATGATTCTTCTTTTCCCCTATATTTCGATGTAAGTGCTGATACAGTTACTACCATATATCAAGGTGGTTTTCAAGTGCTTCGCCCTGTAACTGTTAGTCAAAAAAACGATGTGATGTGCAATCCTCATGAGAAGTAGTATCATTCAAAATTCCTTTTATATTATCTTTCAAAAAGTATACATGCTCTTTCTAGTTCTTAAATCTGAGTGTGTTTAGTTATAAATGTACAGTTTTTATATAAAATAGTTGCTGTAAGTTGCACTTCCCCGCCATGCATGCGTAAATGCCAAATGGGAGGTACTCTACAACCAATGATTATCATTAGCGCCCTTTTTTTTGCCTTTAACCATAACTGATTAGGCCCAATAATAAAAAGTCAGTCTAAAACACAACAGTTATTATGTTCTACAAAAATAGCAACATTCATTTTTCCCTCCTTTTTTTTTTTTTTTTTTTTAAAAACTACACATATATATTTATATATTTAAAAAAATATATCACACTAATCCTAGTTGAGTGCAAACATTGCCAGATTTTATATTTGACTACTGATTTGATAGAAAACTGATTTCTACCAAAAAATCGCACAAAACAACTTTTAATAGATGTTGGTGAAACAGCAGACCATCCAGTGTAAATCCTTTCCCACAGCCACCACGTGCTGGTTGTTTTGTCGGGAGTATGGCAAATGTGCTTCCCCCCAGCATTGATTTTGTATTGATTCCAAATGACCTGCTTCTGCTTTGTGCCTTGCTTCAATACCAATCAAACCACAATATCTTCTAATTATTATTCATTTCATATCATCGCACAACTAAACATGACACACACAGTTTCGAGGGGCCGATGCAGTCATCATGGCAAAAGGCGCCACATCCTTTGCACATGATCATTGCCTTCAGTCGGCAGTAGCATTTAGACTGGACGTCCTCCATGTTGGAGCCCTCGATGAACGACTGTTCAGGTGAGGGCTCGCGCTGGATGCTGTGGTCTAACGAGTGACCAGCAGGTATGGTGGTGACGGTCACCGAGAAAGACATGACGCTCCCGTGGACGCCGCCACCCTCAGCCTCTGTTGAAGCTGTGGAAGAGCCGGTGCCCACAGTGCTGTGGTTCAACGTGTGAGGTACAGACATGCTGATAGTGCCACCGTAGCACGATGCCACGGGTTCCTGATTATCGAGCGTTCTCTGGGTTTGAAAGGCAGACGGCCGCTGGTGACTGGGGTCCACTTGCGTAAGATATGGCTCGGAGTTTCCTTGATTACTATTGCAGAGTTCGAGGTGCTTTCGGTGTGACTGAAAAAAAGGATTGGTGTCTTTGGCTGTCGCACTGGTGCTTTTGTTGAAGGTGCCAGCTGCACTATCGTCTGATCCAGGCTCAGTCTTTACATTGGTGCAATGCTGAATGCTGCATGCTTCATTAGACTTGGTTATTGAGTATCCCTGCTGCTCTATTTTAACCCCAGAAACAAGAGAGAAAACCTTCCCAGCTGGTTCTTCATCCTTTGCCGCATCCTCTCCTTCTGTGCTTTCCCTTTTTAAACTGGACACAGTTGTGTTTGGGATGGCAGACTGCAGCAGTCTCTTGCTCTCTGGTCCTCGGCCGTATGTGGACACATTGAGCAGGTAATGCCCCGTCATGGCAGGCCTGGGCATCCTCTTACGACCCAGAAATCCTACTGAAATCCTGGATTGGTCCTGATGCCCTTCTGCATGCATCAGCTGATGGACTTTGTACTGATGGTGCTGAGGCCCCACACCACCATGAGACTGGCCCTGCTGGCCTTTCCTCTGCATTAGAGCCTGTAGGATCTGCTCCTGAGTCTCCTTATCAGGAAGTTCCTTGTGATGTCTTGTGTATTCTGAGAAAACTCCTGCTCGCCCTGCTGTATTGAACTGGTGGGACATCTGCTTATCAGCCCTGTGCTCAGCAGAGTGGGATGTCTTCCCCTTACTACCAGAGGATATGTTTGACATCTTTACTTCCACCTTGGATAGCGGTTTTGGGAGGATCTGCTCCAACGGAACCTCTTTTCCCTGCAGAAGCTGAGTGACCAGCGGGTTGTTTGCAGGGATACAGGAGCTGGCTCTGGTTGATGATCCAGCTGGTGATGGGTTTTCCTGTCCCTTCAGAGGATGCACAGATGAAGGAGTGGGAAGCGTAGATGTGTCTGAACTCTTTTGAACGCTATGGGGTCCTGCACTGAGAGTATCCGCAGGATGAGCTTTGTGTTTTTCATCAGTTATGCTTGAATAAAATGTTTGAGATCGGTTTGGGCTTAGCTGACCAAAAGTTTCCAGTGGGTGAGAAGGAGGTGTGCTGGTCTGACTGCTGCTGCTGCTGCTGCTGCTGCTGTCCCAGCTGGAGGCTGGTAACTTGGTTGATGCCAGTGGGGATGTTGGGCTTGGGCTAGGCGATGGCTGTGTCTGCTCATCATTGCCTCCCCCTGGACCTGGGCCTGGCACCGCTCCCTTTGATGCAGATGATACTGCGGCAGCCGCTGCCCGCTGCGCTCGGGCAAGCTGAGCTTTGGCTTTGATGTCAGCCAAAGTGCGAGCACCAGTGCGGCCCGGGCTGCTAAGTGGGGCTGAGAGGGGAGTTCTGGGTGACCCTTGACTAGGTGACACAGGAACAGGAAGAATTCGGTACACTGGGATCTGCGAAGTGAAATTAATTGATGTTAATGAATTTCAGCATATAAATATAGAAAATGAAAAACATCCATAATATAAATTAAACTAAGAGACCTCCACAACAGAGCTAATTCTATGTCATGTTATTGCCTCCTCACAGCTACAAACAAAACCCTGCTGAAAGTAGCTAATTTAGGCATTTACTGGGGAAGCTAAGGCTGTTCGGAACATAACTAAGCATAAAGATCACCAGCAGAGAAATTTCTATGGACATTTTAATCATTTTTCTATCACACATTTTTGCTGTAACTCTGGGTTGCCATTGGAATCCACTCTAACTGCTGTGAAACCAAGCTAACTACAGCTGCCACCCTCTGCAAATAAGCAGACTACAAACTTTTCAGACCACCTTTCAAGCCTACAAATGGTGAGTTTTGATACTCAAACGAAAGGTAGATCAGAGGAGTCTTTGAGTTCGCAAAAATTTCTCTACCTTGAGTGGTGGAACCCTCTGATTTGTTGTTTGAGTCGGTGTAGGAGGACTGGATGTGGATGATGCTGGAGGAGATATGGAGGTGACTGAAGACACAGAGGAAAGTGAGGACATACGGGACCTTTTCTCCGGTGTCAATTCAACCTCCATCTCACTGAGAGATTTCCTTTTCAGCAGCTCTGAGGGACCACTGGGCTCAGAGATGACCTCTTCGCTCTCCTCAGCAGGCTTAACCACAGACGCCAGCTGATCCTCTTTTAACTCTGAACTTGCCTTTGGTGCATGGCTCTTCTTCACAGGCGACTGGGAGAGTTCCATTTTCTCCTCCTTCGCTTCCTCTTTATGCCCCTTTTCGGGCGGTGTCTCTACCACAGCCCTTTCAGTCTGTCTCTCAACCTCAGGTGTTGTCACTGCAGGCGTTGGTCCAGACTGTGCTGTTGTGTTCAACTTACGATCCTCAGCATACTGTGAACGGCGCGTCTTCATGGGCTCTGTAGCAAAGAATGGCTCTTTTGGAACAGGCTGTGCCTTCAGAGGCTCCTGTGTTGGCTTCATGTTTTCCACAGCGGTAGTAGCAGCATCCGTCTGGCTGCTGTCCTTGGTGCCCTTGGGATCCTCCGATGCTTGAGCAGCAGGTCCTGTCTGATGACGGGGGGACTGGGGTCTGGCAGGCTCCTGATTCAGATCAGCCTTTGTCAGCTCTTTGGATTCTTCAAAGCTGAGCCCAGAACTATACAGATAGAAAGAAGAGGTGGTGGAAAGACAGACAAAGAAATAAATTTCAGAAATCGAGTGTTTTCTTTGTTAAAATGAACATATATGATATTTTATATATACAGTACATATGTATATGTTTGTGTGTGTGTGTGTGTATATAAAACACTGACCTAATAAAAAGTAATTGTTAGGAATACACACAAAGTTGGGCTTTGAGCATGACAATGACTCGCAACATACTAAAAACAATTAATTTACTCGCAAGTATTGTTTTATACATGACAGAAAAAAACCCACTACTAGTTATTTTTCACATTAAAAAAATATTTCTCAGATTCCCTACCCTGTGTTGAATTTGAAATACCAAGCTGATATAAATTTACAACAAGTGTTTTGATTTTGCACTTGAGCGATGAGATATGGCGAGTATGACACTTCATATCATCCATTCAGTTTTTTGCAAGTTGAGCAGCTAAGAGGTTGATTCAATTTGACTTAGCCTTGTCTTGAAGCAATATGATGTTGTTGGATACAAAGCAATTCAATGAAATGTGATAAACAGTGTATTACATTGTAATTCTACTAAAAATACAGTCATGTGTTTCCAAGAAAAAATCTTACCATGTATTCATCTACTCCTGTGTGAGAGGGAGATGAGGATGGTGTTAAGATCCTATTTGGAATCTCATTCAACTTTTATTATATTTAATAATCCTTTCAAAAGACGCCACAGTTTAATAACAATGCATTTCTGAAATTAGATATTCAGTGTTGTTAATGACGTTTAGAAAAAAAATAGGTAGATGGATCTTCTTTTGAAAAAAATTAAACACTCCCTCAAAGCTGGGTCGGATAAGTTCATCAAAAAATAATACAAATCTTCCAACATAAAAGGAGAACCTACTTTTCACCATAATAGTTTTCAAAGAAGGCCTCCTTCCAGTGCTCAACTTTCTTTTCCTTCTCAATTTCTTGTCTCATCCGTAGCTGCAACTCAGGAGTGAATTCCCCTGTAAAGGAAACAGTTAAATAATTTTAAAAGTTACATTATATTTGTAGCCACACTGAATCTTGGTTATTTTAACGTTGAATGTGAACTGAATGCTGTTATTATCAGTTGGAAACAGTTGCACTGACCCTCAGCCAGCCTCTCCTTCCAAGACTGTGCTGCTGATGTGAAGAACTCATTGTTTAAGGCAGAACTAGTGACCTTGAGAAGGCCGTCCATGCAAGCCTGGGGAGAGGAGGCACAATGTTATCACGAACATCATCAGAATCACCATCGCTGCATCAGTAAATCAAATCATGCTTCCCATATGTGATGTGTAGTTAAATATGTAGAATCAGTGAACATGAATGAACGTGGTAGAGAAGTAAGCTGTGTGTAAAATGTATATCCCTGTGCAGAGATGTTTTCTGCACTTTTAAAATATTTCCAAACAATTTTGTGAGATAGTTTAATACATTAGATGACAATTTACAGGAAATATGAAAATTTACATTGCAATAACATTAGATTGTCTTCATGAAGTGCTAGATAATGCAACAGAAGCATAAAAAGTATGAATAATCTTAGAGCCACCTGCCGGTCAACTTCAGGCAGAAGTCTGAGCAGCCTCTGTTGGCAGTCAGGGGGCAGGACAGAGAAGGTGTGCTTGTTGATGATCGCCCGCAGGTTGGTGTTAACCAAAATGGAGTCTGGTGTTTCCACATCTATTTTACACTTGGTACGTTTCAGTTGCCCTGCAACACAAAACAGGAAACAGATGTAAGTCAGACAACACAGAAACATGTCGATTTTGCCACTGACGTCTTGAGTAATTTATTCTCATGTGAAGTCATATAAATTAATTTTGTTTCACTTGCTCCTCGACTTCTTGAAATAATGCCCAAGCAAGAGGGCAGATCTAAGTTTTAATATATACGGTTGGTGTTGTTCCTCATTTTCTTATTTTCAATAAATCCCATGAAAAGACACTACACTACAATGCATATGCCAGTTTCTTAATACTTTCTGACTTCCCTATCCTGTCTATGGCGCAAAGCCCCAAGCACGTTGATTTCTACTGAAGACATAAACCTATAAAAACATAGATATATAGTTTCATTTAGAAAAAGGCTAAATAATGTTCTAAAACAGCTTGGCACTAGTTTTTAGTAAGTGCTACCCAAACATAAGTAAATAGTGCATTGGTTGCGACTATTGCAAGCTGGGGATTAAGTTTTTGGTGCACTGCAGAACAAGTGAGTATTTATGGCACCAGGACAGTGTAGCTGAGACTTACTCAAAATAAACTATAGTGTCTGTGTCAACATGTCATCCAGTGCAACCATGTGGTTTGAATAGACAACAATGGAGGTCTATGACAAATAGGAATATGCTATATTCAATTTATTTATTTATATAGCCTAGCAGCAATTCACAACAGAAACTATCTCACTGCACTTTTCATATAGAGCAGGTCTAGAGCATACTCTTTGTAATATTATTTGCAGAGACCCCACAATTCCCACCATGAGCAAGCACTTGGCTATAATGGCAAGGAAAAACAGGTAGAAGAAACCTTGAGCAGAACCTAGACTCAGGCTAGACCCAGGCCTAACTATAAGCTTTATCAAAGAGGAAAGTCTTAAGCCTACTCTTCATTGTAAAGATGGTGTCTACCTCCTGAACCCAAACTGGGACCTGATTCCACAAGACCCTATACTAGGCTTTGACAACACAGACAATTCTTATAGAAGAACCAACAGGACCAATTCATTGTTGGTTTTGGTCTTTTAATGGGATTTGTTGACACTAAGAAAAATACAGAACATCACCAGCCCTTCCCTTTAAGATTTCCAAACCACTCAATTAAATTAAAGCATATGTCTGACTTACCTGCACTAAGGCGGCCTGACCTCTGGGATACCTTCCTGGGGACGACTGGGTGGCATAAGTCTGTTTAGGCAGAGGGAAAAGAGCGAAAAGAAAAGCTCTCAAAAATTTTCCACATTGATGCTGCCAATTATGTGAGTCATGTTTGAAAGGCGTAATACAATGCGTTTTGTTGTCTAGTTAGGAAAACCTGTAATAACAGGACAATACCCAAGATCTGCATCAATATCAGTCATTTATCTTCAAAACTGTGTGTATTATGATGCAGTGAACATCAGCAAAATATCCACACTGACTGAATATCATACCTCATTTCTGTGAGCTGGAGCTCTGTTGTCCAACCCAGTGTGCAACTATGAATTCCATTTTATATTGTATTTGACATTTTAATAGCAGCCACCTACCAGTCGTTGTAGTAATGGTGTCAGCCATATCTTTGATGGTTTTCAGAAGTAGTCTGGGACTAGAGCTGGCTGGCATTCCCCCCTGTCTGCGCTGGTTTCTCTGTTGCTGCTGCTTCAAGGCCTGAAAGCGAGCAAAATAAAGAACAAATAGCCAGCAGTATGAAAAAAAGAGAGTGTGAATGTGTGTAACCCTCTGTTTCCCTGCAACTACTCCCCCAGGGCCTCTTGCCTGGTTAAATAACAGCTAAATAACAGTGCAGCAATGAAACATAGGTTGCATAACACAAGCATAAATCATCTCTATGTTGTAAATGTGTCAAGAAGTCTGATCACCTAACAAGCACAATGTCAACAGCTTAAAGAAGCAATCTAGGACAGTCCACTGAGTCTGTTTCTTTTGTTTTAGCTTAACGAAATAGAAAATACACAATAGATCTCACCAGCAATAATATTTTAGCCAAATCACCATCTTCTAGTGTAGCCCAATAAATGAATACAAATTGGTCTTACACAGCTGAAGACTCTACACCAGCACAGATGGAGTGAATTACAATCTGTGCAATCAAGTGAAATCTAATTAAATAGAACACAAAAGGCACAACACAGCCAATAAGAAAAAAGCTGAACGGGTGGATTATGAGAACATTAATACTTTAAAACCAGCTATAGGCATTTTTCCCTGTAGCCTCATTGTCTTGAAATAATCAGCACAAGATGTTAAACAGACAGGGAATGGAAGGATATTTGGCGCCTGCTTAAAAACTAACATGGGTTACGTACATGTTTACTGAAACTGTTTCAGCGTGAAGTAGTGAAAACTGCAGGATTAAAAATCTAAATATGTCATGTACAATAATAACCTCAGTTGTTGAGTGACAACTGACTCAGATTCAGATCAGTACAGTTTTTCTTTATTTAAGAATAAGGGTCTCCTGTAACATCTTGGTATATCAATGCAAAAGAAACAACATTAAAACATTCGTTTTCAAATCCTTTTCTTAAGTAAATGTACTAATACCTCACTGTAAAAAAACTCTGTTACAAGAAATGTATTGCATTAAAAATGAACTTAAGTAAAAGTATGTGAGTATAATCAGGAAAATGTACTTAAAGTATTAAAAGGACTCAAAGCAGAAAGAAAAATGTCTCCTGTGACTGTTTTACTATTATTTATTATATCATTAGATTATCATTACTCATGCATTAATGTAGTTGGTTGAGGTTGAACTATTTTGTATCAGACTGCAATTAATTTTTTCCTTATGGATTAATCCACAGATTATTTTCTCTATTAATCGATAGTAATAATTTTGAAAATAGTGAGAAATGTTGTCACAATCGCCCATAGCGACGCCTTCACAATGCTTAGTTTGTCTAAACCTCAAAATGATTAAAAACACATTAAAATAACCAAAAGGAAAGGCAGCAAATCTTCTCATTTGTGAAGCTGGGACCATGAAATGTTTTTACATAAAGAATGACTTAAACGATTACCAAAATAGTTGCTAAATAAACTTCAGTTAACCAATGTACTATATGTACTTGTATAAAGTGTTGAGTAATTTAGTTTATAACAAAACATCATATTTTTTCTCTCTTCATAACTCTTCATATGTTTTGGGTGTAAAAATCACACTTTGTAAAGTAACTAGTAACTGATGCTGTCAGATAAATGTATTTCCTTCTGAGATGTAGTGGGGTAGAAATTGGCATGAAAAGAAAATACTCAAGTTAAGTACAAATACCTCTAATTTGTATTTAAGTACAGTACTTGAGTAAATGTATTTAGTTAGTTTAAATGAGTGTATGTGAGTATGAGGATGTGGCAGGAACTCATGTAACATCTAAGGCATATGTTTGCACAATATAGCATTTACATCACTAAGTAGCTGTTATTAACACAATAAACAATAAAAAAGAACCCATCAGTACCTGTTTCAAAGCTTTCTTGCTGTGTTTCTGCGAGGGAGAGATTAGTTTACTTGTGGGAACAGAAGGCGACGAGCATCGAGGCTGCGGAGAGGACGGCTGTGACTGCAGCTTGGAGGGAACTACCAAATACAAAAGCGCAAAACAGATGTTAGTAATACACTTCCTGAGGTTGCTGTACAGACTTTATCACATCATGCTTTTGTTTTGATGAAACTGAAACCAATACTGTGCACAAAGAAGCAGATTGTATTACCTTGCTAAAATATCACCTTACTAAAAAAGGGCTGAACATTTCAATAAGAAGATTGTTCTCAAAAACCTCTCTGCTGTCTGTTTCTGATGAAACCTTTTCTACATACCGTAGCAGTTCCACTTGTTTCATTTTCGATGCCACTTAATTTGCATTTAACTTTGCGGTTTTTGCATTGATTAGTTCAAAAATAAAACAATATCGGAGCCCTCCCACTCAGATCTAAACCAAGGTTATATGCTTGGCATTTTCCAACTTGAACATAATGAGGAAGTGGTCACGGGTCATGCAGAGAAAATACAGTTTCCTGTTTTAACAGTCACTTAAAATATTCAAGTGGCAGAGAGAAATACCAAGAGTCAGTGAGAGCACGGCCTGAGGAAAACAAAATAATTGGTACTTGAAGAAACGCTCATAAGTTCCTCTGCAATCAGGCACAATCAAGGTGTGCAATTCACAATAAAGCAATGATTTGACACACACGCACAAGAGAGCAAAAACCGCTATGGTGTGACCGTCATGTACAGCCCTGCAGCTTCTCTGTTAATGGAAGACGTCATTGTTTGAAGATAAAACTCACCTTTTGCTATCATCATGTTTGATGCTCAATGTAATCCAGAAACTATTTTGTGATGAGATGTTGTAACTGTAGCCACTTTCCTCTAACTCTAACTCTAACTTGCCTCGTCTGCCGCTACTTCAACTGGTTTCCTGTGTTTCCGCGATGATTTTTGACAAACGGCTGAGAAGGGGCGTTAACTGTCATAGTCATAACTGAGCTAGGTAACCACCCAGCAAAAATCAGCTAATGAGCAGAACTACGGTCCTTACTTATTACTTTCTGTTGAGGCTACTGTTGATGGAGAACGGCCTATCTTTATTTTCAATTGACTCCACCTAATGATTGTTGAACAGCAGTGACAATTATGCAACAACAAAGAAGCCCTTACTCTTTAATAATAACAGCGCTTGCAAATGAAGCTGATGTAAACTATTGTCACTGTATTTTAGTGGTATCAGTTAGCTTGCAAAATTAGTCTACCGTTGGGTACCTCTAGCTATAAAATAGTGGTGACATGTTTTAATTTCTTACAATTGTTTTAATTAAATAATGTGGTTTAGTTTATTTTAACATCTGCATTACATATTTGTGTAATCAAGCTATTATGAATGTTGATTGGTGATTCTTAAATGACCTAAATAAGCTTTAGGAGATGATGGTCTGTACACACCATTTAAAGAAGTGACTTCAGGGATGCAGTGACGTGCAAACTATTAGTAATGATCCTGTATGCAGTGCACAGTACCTCTTCGCATCCACCTTCCCCTCCTGCCCTCCTGAGTGATGGCACTGCTGCTGTTTTCTGTACTTTGGGAGTCAGAAAGATTGTCACTGCTCTCCTCAGATTCCTCCTCAGATAGCTCCTTCGCCACATCGGAGATGTCCTTCTGCATAAGTACATAGAGTATATTACCTTTATGTTATATAGATACAGAAAAAGAAGAGCCCAGACATTCAGAAACAGCTTGTGGGGTACACACTCACACTACAGTCAGAATTCAACCAAAGCATTCATAATTATAAACACATGTCATGATACTAACCAAGATTTATGTTTTAAACTGTATCCCACTCTCCCTTAAACACCAGTCACATTCTGAAATCTACAGCATAACCCAATGTATTTTTTTTATTTCATTAATTAATAAAAATTCCATCTAAAACAATACATTATTGGCTAAGATAACCATGTATATTAGATTGTATTCCGCATGGAATAATGGAATTACATTTAAATACTCATATCGGTTGACCGTTAATTCACAAATTATGAACTTGCAGGACACAGCAGTCAAAACAGCTTTGTCTAACTAACCTTTAATGTGTAGACCCCCATTCTGCCTGGAACTTTGTAGAAGATCCCCTCCTCACCACGAGAGTTTGTGTGCAGCATTGCATTCAGACATGCCAGCGGTGAAGTTCCACTACATCGTGAGAGAAAAGGGCAAATTACATATTGGTTCCCTAAAAAAAATCAGGAAGCTGGGAGAAACACGCAACAAGGGCAAAAGGCTGGTCTGATATCTGGGGAGAAATAGCTATCATGCATCAACAGTTGAGGTCAGATTCACAGCAGTCTAGCTGTAAGGCAATTTACTGAATATTTTACACAGAATAAATTGCATAAAACTGGTTAATCATCATAAGAGACTGATATTCTTTATTAAACTGGTCTGACATAACTATGTCGCTGCACAAAAATCTGTTCTAGTTAAGTCAAACAGCTTCAGAACTAACTTGAGTTAATCAAGAGTGCACAATAATGCCTCAGCAGTCATGCAAGAGATTTATCCAGAGTTACACAGTGAAGCAAAAATTCAGTTTTAGTCAACTTACATATGTGTTACTTTATAGTGTAATACATACAGTATATTACTTAAAAGTACATTAAGCAAAAAGCTTAGAAATAAAATGCACTGAGATGGAGAAAAAAAAGCAACATCTGTCATTCATTTAGATCACTGGGCTAGTTGGGCTAACATCTGCCATACAATTTATGTCATTAAATTTACACTCTGGATAATGTCATGTAGCTGTCTGTGTTAAACTTCAAAGTACAAACATTGGCATCAGCATCCATGCTTTATTTTGTTTGAACGTCGAGTATATTTACCATACTGGAAAACAAAATTATGTTTTTATGCAACAGGTTGGCTCTATAAGCACGTCAAATATATGAGCGTGAGAACTGTGTCTTTATGCAACTGAACCTAGGACATGTTATTGTTAATAACATGCAAAAGGTAAAACCAAACAAAGGGGCATTGCAGTGAGTTTGTTAAGATAAGGGTCGGGGGACTAGCCTTTTCTTACCTTCTGGATGAGAACAGTGACAATGAAACAAAAAGAAATGAAACAATTATTAATTAAGTAAAACACTATGTGAACAAGAAACAGGAAAGTACATGATATGAGCAATCAATAACAGAGGGTAGAAACTGTAGCTCTCTCTCTCATGAAAATGTCTCCTGTCTGAAGGGCATTTGCTGTAGTAAAGCTGCAATGCCAGGGAACTATTTACCTTATTTCCTTAAGCCTTTCTCTTTGGATCACCTGCAAGATCTCTTTATGGCTCATAGGCGTATTGGGGTATTTCTCCAAAACCTAAAACAATAAAACATCTTTATCAACAAAAAAACACTGTGATACCATTGTACAGTTGAGTGATTCAAGTGAGAGTGGTTGTCATAAAACATGATGTGGTCTCCACTTCCTCTGAAGCCTGAGATTTCACAAACTGACGCTTCACATGCCTTGATTGTGTAGCCACAGTACAGAATACGACGCTCAGAGTAATCAAGTCCACAAACATTGTGGCTTTTTGTTATGATCTACATCTCATTCTGATAATAAATAACAAATGGTTAACGTTACCTACTAAGTTACAGTTTTTTACATTTGGCATATGTTGTGACATGGACAGGGAATGCAGCATGATCGCAAACACGTTCATAAAACGTTGATATTAGCTAGCTGCAAAACATGTCAACACAACCCCTCACACACTTTCACAGAATAATAAAACATCTCGTTGAACAAACAACGTTGCTTTATTTTGTTCCCACCTTCTATATTTTTGTGACATATGTTGAGCATCTCAGTAGAACAGGACTTTATTGGTGTTTAGAAACTAACACGTTATTACAATTTATTATTTTTGGAATTAGCTACGTTTACTAACTAGTTGCTATAAATTACCCATTGAAGCTAATGCATCACTGGACAGTGGATGTCCACACAAGCAATAACGTTGCGCTTTAATTATTAAATAGTTTTGATATTCTGTAGGCATTAGCATGCTACGCTAGACAGCTAGCTACAATGCTAACAACATTCGTTACTGTACTCTGATGGTATCTCGCCACACGTTGGCATGCAATACATTAATTTCATTATCTATTATGCAGTTACGGTAACGTACGGGGGATTAGTTTAATACCAACACTGCACGTTTTAATGCGTTTTATTTAACGTTACAAGCGATATCAAACAAACTTGTTGACGAACTGAGTTGCGTTAGCAGAAGCTAGCATGCTAACCTGGTTAGCGGGCAACACTGACGTGATTACTTCATGTTACTTTATTCGACTTCAAATCGTGACAGACAGGTCACCCGTACAGTCAAGACACAACACACCGAAGGGTTGGGGAAAGATGCTTGGGTGCACACCGCTGCCATTCGTTTCGCTGCGTTCATGATCAACGCTGACAGTTAGGCAAAGCTACACAGCTAGTGACAATCATCGGTCTCCCGTCAAAACAGGCCTTGCGCGGTGTACGCAACATTTCGTCTTCACCAGCGGGTCATGAACTCATAAACAGTTGTACAAGTGGGAGCGTTCAAGGAAAACAACCACAACAAACGGCAGAGAAAACACGTAGAATACCGTTTTAGCGGCTTCTGCCCACGTCCTCCCCTTCTTTTTCTTCTGTCTCTCCCTCATTGTTGATGTCTTGAAGCAGAGTAGTGCTGAACGTGTCTGTTTCAGTTGAAATGTTGCTTTAGTTACCGCGTAAGATCCACTCCGTCTGCCATGTTGGACTTACTGTAAAGAGTCATGTGACTCCGAAGGAAACGTCATCTTACTGTATATAGCTGTCATTTCAAAGTCTGCAAGTTTCCCACATATTTATTTAGCTGTCAACTGCAATTATAACCAGGATCCCAGGAATACCGCAACATAGCTCTTGGGGGAAAAAACAGCAGGCGGTTCAAAATCATTTCAGTGTGTTTATTTTCATGTGTAAGCAAATGGATTTTCCACGATTTCGCAATTGTGAAAAAAATAAGGCAGCTAATCAAGAGAGAATGTTGCAAGCTTTCTTCACATTTTTGGCTCACAATTACATTAGCTAGAAATCGAAGCAACAATTCATTAAGCTTACAGGCTAAACCAGGGTGGCCCCAATTAGTTTGGGCCCTCAATTCCCCTACTACCCTTTGGCAAAGACCAGATACATTTTACAGGCTTTTATCTTTTAGAAAATATGTGATTAAAGTGTTGCTGTAAAAAAAAAGTTAAATTAAATTGAAATAAATTAAAAATATGAACTGTAAAGATCCTCCGCACTATTTACAGTATGTCAAACCTGGTTTTACAATATTACGTTTTGGCTGTGCTATTAATTGAGACTGGCATAAGCCACAAGAAACTAGGCAACAGTAGGCAAAGATGATGTTTGTCTTTTCGGTTAAGTTGAATGCATGCTTAGTAAAGAGATTTATTCCTCAAAAAAAAAGGTGTGACATAAATTTTAAATCAAGGCAGAAGATTTCCTCCATGTCTCCTTTGTGCCACCTTAAAGCCAGCCCTGTGTACAGCTGTGTTGACACATGTCAGGGGCTTGTCTGAACTGGACCTCCCAGGGGAAGATAGGCTGCAGAGGATGGTCTTTGTCTCTGAGAAGGAGAGAAGCTCTGAGATTCTGATGTCAGAGTTGTGGATGATGAGGATGATGTGACAGATGCTGCTTGCGGTGCTTGATACCTGCAGACCATAAATAACAGATTGACTTATTATTTGATCTAATTAAAATGCGGTACATTTTTACCGCCCCATATCACAGGATGCCCAACTGTATCAACAGGGTTTGATGGGGTTGATCAGCAACATATCAGTAAGAAACTGAAGCGGTGGATCTATATATGAAAAAAACATATACATGTAGTGTGTAGTTAGGGGAAACTGACACCACCAATACATGCTTATAATTGCATTTCAGGATTTACCCAACATACAACTACAAAATTTAACACAATTCATGACAATTCTTCACCTAACGTTTCTACTGCAATGTTCAGTCTTTTCCTTAATTTAATGCTCCTAAAAAGGGGCACATTACATCATCTGTAAGCATGTAAGACGTATGCCTGTATCAGCTGTTCTCTCACCAGGACTGGGATTTCCTGACCCGTGGCGATGCAGTGGTCCTCTCTCTCATGGGAACATTTACCAGGAGGTCCCGCATCAGCCTGGGAGAAAAGGCCCTCTCCAGGTGAGTGCCATTAAGGTTCAGGGTGAACATGGTTGGTGGAGACATGTCTAACTCCAACAGCATTATATTCTCAGCCTGTAAGAACAGATCAAAGTAAGGCTGTAGTTATAATAGCATAATTAAATATGCAAATGCTTCTTTTTTATAGTAGGGTTACGGTAAGCCACCCTGGAAACAACTGTGATATTAAGTTTCA